AGATGATCTGAAGAATATTATAAACCATCTTGATCCAACTGATGTTTATAGAATACTACAACCAGCAGCCATCCTGCCTAAAGCGATCTACAGATTCAATGCGATTCCTATCAAAATAGCAACAGCATTCTTCAATGAACTAGAGCAAATAGTTCTAATATTCATATGGAACCACAAAAGACCCAAAATAGTCAAAGCAATCCTGAGAAGGAAGAATAAAGCTGGGAGGATTATGCTCCCCAACTTCAAGTTCTGGTACAAAGCCACAGTAATCAAGACAATTTGGTACTGGCACAAGAATAGACTCATAGATTAATGGAACAGAATAGAGAGCCCAGATATAAACCCCACATTTATGGCCAATTAATATATGATAAAGGAGCCATGGACATACAATGGGGAAATGACAGCCTCTTCAACAGCTGGTGTTGGCAAAACTGGACAGCTACGTGCAAGAGAATGAAACTGGATCACTGTCTAACCCCGTACACAAAACTAACTTTGAAATGGATCAAAGACCTGAATGTAAGTCATGAAACTATAAAACTCTTAGAAGAGAACATAGGCAAAAATCTCTTGAATATAAACACCTGAACACATCTCCTCAGGCAAGGGAAACAAAATTAAAAAATGAATCAATGCAACTACATCAAGCTAAAAAGCTTCTGCACAGCAAAGGACACCATCAGCAGAACAAAAAGGCATCCTACAGTATGGAGAATATATTTGTAAATGACATATCCGACAAGGGGTTAACATCCAAAATATATAAAGAACTCACATGCCTCAACACCCAAAAGGAAATAACCTTATTAAAAAATGGACCGAGGATATGAACAGACACTTCTCCAAAGAAGAAATTCAGATGGCCAACAGCCACATGAAAAGATGCTCCACATCACTAATCATCAGGGAAATGCAAATCAAAACCACAATGAGACATCACCTCACACCAGTAAGGACGGCCAGCATCGAAAAGACTAGGAACAAGAAATGCTGGTGAGGACGCAGAGAAAGGGGAACCCTCCTACACTGCTGGGGGGAATGTAAATTAGTTCAACCATTGTGGAAAGCATGTGGAGGTTCCTCAAAAAAACTAAAAATAGAAATACCATTTGACCTGGGAATTCCACTCCTCGGAATTTACCCAAGGAAAACAACATCTCAGATTCAAAAAGACAGATGCACCCTATGTTTATTGCAGCGCTATTTACAATAGCCAAAAAATGGAAGCAACCTAAGTGTCCATCAGTAGATGAATGGATAAAGAAGATGTGGTACATATATACAATGGAATATTACTCAGCCATAAGAAACAAATCCTACCATTTGCAACAATATGGATGGAGCTACAGGGTATTATGCTCAGTGAAATAAGCCAGGTGGAGAAAGCCAAATACCAAATGATTTCCCTCATGTGTGGAGTATAAAGCAAAACTGAAGGAACAAATTAGCAGCAGACTCACAGACTCCAAGAACGGACTGGCAGTTACCAAAGGGAAGGAGTGGGAGATGGCAGGTGGGGAGGGAGGGAGGAGACTGTGGGGTATCACGACTGGTGCCCATGTTGTGTGTGGGGTCACAGGGAAGATAGTGTAGCTCAGAGAAGACAAATAGGGACTCTGTGGCATCTTACTGCACTGATGGACAGTGACTGTAATGGGTTATGGGGGGGGACTCGACAATAAGGGTAAATGTAATAACCACGTTGTTTTTCTTGTGAAACCTTCATAAGAGTGTATATCAATGATACCTTAATAAAAAAGAAAAAGAATACTACAACCAGCAACTGCAGATAACAAGGTATATTCATCAGAATAGAGTCTATGCTGGGTCATAAACATGTCTCAATGTTTAAATAATTCAGATCATTCAAATTGTATTTTTTGACCACAGCAGAATTAAGTTAGGAACCAATAACAACAATATACCTAGGAAAGTGCCAAATCATTGGAAATTAAATAACACACTTCTAAAGAATTTGTGGATCAAAAGTACAATCATTAATTAGAAAGTATTTTGAACTGAAAGACAATGAAAAAACATTTCAAAAATGTGTGAAATGCTGGTAAAGCAGTTTCTTAGAGGGAGACTCAGAGCTTTAAGTGATTACATTAGAAAGAATGATCTCAAATCAGTGACCCGAAGTTCCACCCTAGAATGCTGGAGAAAGAGCGTGCTGAACCAAAAACAAAGAGAAGGATAAAAAAAATATTAAAGAACACAAAGCCATAAAACAGAGAGCAGAGAAGAGGGAAAATTAACAAAGTCAAAAGACAATTCTTTGTAAAGAATGATAAAATTGACAAACCTCCAGCTTGACTTAATCGAAAAAAAAAGAGAGAACACAAATAACCACATCAGGAATGAAAAAGGGGCCATCATCACAGATCCTACAGACATTAAAAGGATAATAACAGAATACTATGGACAACTTTATGCCAGCAAATCTCACAATGTAGATGAAACAGAAATCTATTGAAAAATACAAATAGGAAATCTGAATAGCTCTGTATCTACTAGAGAAATTAATTTTATTATCAAAAACCTTTTCAAAAAGAAAACTCTATGCCCAGATGGTTTCATTACTAAAGTCTATCACTCACAGAAGAAAATAACAGCAGATTACACAGACTTTTTGAAAAAATAGAGGAGTTAGGTTCTCTGCCCAGCTCATTTGAGGAGGCCAGCAAAGCCTAATACCAAAACCCAAAACCTTGCGCTTTGGGGCTTGCTCCCTTGCTGCCGGGAACCCCCCTGCCACCATTGTGAGGAAGCCAGAACTGGCCCGCTGGGCAGCTGCAAGGAGGAGAATGGGGGCTCCCAGCCAGCTGCTTGCCAATCCCCAGACCACCCAGCCCTGACAAGCAGAGCCACCCAGCTGACCTACAAAATCAGGAGAAAAAATAAATGCTTGTCGTTTTAAGCCACTGTTTTGGACTGGTTTGTTTTGCAGCCCAAGCCAACTGATAACTAACAAAGACAGGTTCCTCTGGCAGCCAGTGTCAGGAGCCCTGCAAGTGACCAGAATGAGGACAGGAGAGTGGGAAGGAGTCAGCGGCTGAATAAAGGGAAAGACGACAATGGCCTGAGGCAGAAGAGGGGCAGAGGGCAGAGGGACCTGGACAGACAGATGGCGCGGGCCACCCGGAGGCGGTGTCGGAGGCCTGGCAGCACAGGGAGGGGAGGGGCAGGCGAAAGGGGCTGTCAAGAGTGATCGGCCACATCAGCCCCAGCTCCTCCCCCAGCCGACCTGGACGGAGTTCTGTGCTCCACCTCCCAGCGCCTCCTTAGTTCCTTCATCCTTAAAATGGGGCCGGCAGCTCCCGGGGTGCGGCGGGGATTCAAGGAGTGCGTGAGTGTGAGTGGCTGGCCCGTGCGCAGCGCCCACTAACGCTTGCTCCTGTTCTCTGAGGTCACGGGGAGACGGAGGGGGGAAGATGGAAGGGTGTCCCGGACACTGGGGATTTGAGAAGCAGCGGAAATGAAAGCCAGTGACAAGTGAGGTCCACGCTGAAAGTCAGAAAGGTTGTGACCTTTAAGTGACCCTGAGAGCTGGGTTCTTGCCTGACCCCCACCCCGGGAAGGGTCCCTGTCGGATGCCCTCAGGATTTCCAGGGCAGCTCCCAGCCTCCCAGCACGCGTTTTTAGAGCCAAGGCAGCTCTGACAGAAGGGAGGCGGGGGCAGCCCGCAGGCCGGTGTGCTTCCCCCTCCCCCAGGCCCCAGCGCGGGCTGACGGACGTAGCCCTCCGCCCAAATCCACCAGGCGGCCGCACAGAGCGCCGAGGCCCTCGGTCCCAGCCGGCCAGGCATTCGATCCCACACGTTTTTACTGAGTGCCTCTGTGCACCAGTATTCTGGACTCAGAAATACAATTTTGTGCACAGGCCCTACGAAAATGCACGACTTCCTCAGGTTCAGGTGCCTGCGGGGCTGCCGAGTGCAGGAGGCCTGTGGGTGAGACTTCCGCTGAACAGCCTCGGTGGCTCTACGACAGCAGGGGCCGTCATTGAGCATTCGGTGCAGGCCCCGCCTGCATAGACATTACACCTGCGTCAACCCTCAACTGGCTCGGCCTCCGCAGGAGCTCTGGCTGTGACCTCACACGCGACAAACTCTCCGTGCCTCAGTTTCCTCGTCTGTAAAATGAGGACAGTCCCCGGGAGCAGAGGCCGCGCTCTGGGAGCTTCGTCCCGGCATCGCGGGTCCACCGCAGGGACGCTCGCCTGCTCATCGTGCCCATTTCACGGACGGCAGAGCCGGGTCAGACGCAGCACGCGCGCCCGGAGCCCCTGCCCCCGTTACAGTAGCAGAACCCGCCGCGGCCCGGCCCGGCCCGGGCACACCCCCGGCCGCGGACGCCGAGAGCGCGCCGCCGAGTGGACACTGCTGCTGGCCCCCGGGTCCCGGGCTCCCGACGCCCGAGTCTCCGCAGGTCAGTCCTGCCGTAGCGGAGGGGTGGTGCTGGGGGATCGGGGCACCGCGGAGGTCGGGGTTCGGGTGGCGGCGGCTGAGGCCCGGCCGGCGTCCCCCGGGGGTAGGGTCGCGGAGATCTGGGGTGTTCTGGGGTCGAGGGGTGCACACCGTCCGCGGCCCCGTGCCCCCCCGCCGTCACGCCCGCCCGCCAGCCCGGGTCGCCGAGGGCGGGGACGCGCCCAGGGCCGCGCTCCGGCAGAGTGGCCGTCGGGCTTCCAGGAGGTTGGCTCTCCGCGGCCCCCCGTCTGCGCGTCGCTCCGGCCCGGGCCCCCCGCCCTCCGCCCTAAGTTCTGCCGCGCGGCCCGAGCGGGCCGGGTCGCCTCCCGAAGGAAGGGGCGCGGGGTGCGGGGCTCCGGACACACGCGGCCCCCCGGGTCCGGCAGAGCCTCCCGCCGATCTGGAGGGGCGGGACCAAGCCGCCCGAACTTTCCGCCGTCCCCGGCGGCCTCCCGCTCCCCAGCCTCGGGGCGGGGGGTCCCAGCGCAGGGCCCCGCGGAGCCCGGGCGTGCGGCCGCCGCCCTACCTGCCTCCATGGTCCGCCGGCGGCCCCCGCGCCCCGCGCCGGGCCGGCCCCGCTGTGGCCGCGGCTCGGGTTTCCTGGTGCCGGCCGCGCGGCTGGTTAATAATTGACGGCCGGAGGGGGCCCGCCGGGCAGGGTCGGGCGGAGGGCTGAGAGCCGAGGCGGCCCTGCGGCGGGTGCGGAGGGAGGCGGGCGGGGCGGGGCCGGGCGCGGGGCGCAGGTGCCGCGGGCCAGGCCGGAGCGGCGCGGCCCCAAGCAAGCGGCGCGCGGCTGGGCGTAGTTGCGGCCAACAAGGACCGAGGGAGTCACAGATCTGCTTTTTAATTTTTTTCCAGCGAGGGAGGCCAGAAGTGCATATTTCAATGTGAAATCTGAATTTTAAAGCAGCGGGTGGGGGACTTCTTTCGACGAGAAAGAACGGAGGCTGCAAAGCAAACCAACAGTTCATCGGGGGTCTTTGGGAATATGCCCCGAGGACACAGATTCAGGAGGAACCCGAAATGCGCTCCGAGGCGGGGTGCGGGCGGAGAAGGAGCGTCCAACGGCCAAAACCACAGGTTTACAGACGTTGCCTTGAAAGAATGCGGGCTGGCCTAGCCAAAAATAACTAATGCTGGTCCACGTAGGATAGATGACTGTTAGTTGCTAGACTGAAGCTCAGCAAAAAGCCTCATTCTGAGAACTGAAACCGGATGTAGCCGCTTACGGTTGGTGCGGCCCAAGAGTTCAGGTTCAAGCTGGGATGGCCCTGAGTAAGACTGGCCCCCCCAGGGGCCTGCTGACTCCACTTTAGGGCCCTTTGATGTCGCTGACTCCACCTCAGGTGTTTCTGCTCACATTTCCTCCTTTTGACCAAGATCTTTTCTTGGGAAACACTGATGATTTAGCCGTCTAGTTGTCAGGAATATCTGGTCCCTTGTCACCAGGAAGACTCGTCCCTGGCTGTGCTGCTGTTTGTCCCAGGATTGCATCTCGGAGGTGAGGAGGGATGAGGCCTGCAGATAAAGAGTACAGAGCGGCCAGCAAGGCTTTCACTGAGGAGCGAAGAGAAAAGCTCTGCTGACGAGGTGGGGCTCCCCGGAGAGGGTGCCCTTAGGGCTGCAGGTGCTGGGAGTTTACAAACACATCGAGGAAGAAATCCGCATGGGTGCCTAGGACCTTGCTGGGGCCAGACTGGGGGATCAGAAAACCCCTTCTCAGGCTGGCCACTCCAGGCTGTGGTTTCTTATGTGTCCTGATTGGCAGGTTGACCACAAGTCTGGTGGCAGTGTTCCACTTGGCCAATCTGTACCTGGACAACATGTCCTGTTCTACCTACTCCAACGGCTACCTCCTGCGTCACCAGTCTGCCATGTCCCACATAGCAGAGAAAAGAGGTGTTATGTGAGTAGGAGTTGCAAAGGGGCAGTGGTCACATCTGAGCAACAAGGAGGTCCTAGAGGAGTGAGCCCTCGGCACCCTTGCCCGGAGCCGCCTTTAATCAGGATCTCAGCTGAAGTGAGTTGACCTTCAGGAGGGGGGCTTGATTGATCATCTCCAGTCTTTGAGCAAATTATCTGAGTTCTGACAGAGCATCTGTGATACTTGGTTATGCAAAGAAAGCATTAACAGTTTGATAATGATGAATATAGAACAAACTAGAACAACAATAAGTATGATCATGTGTAGCCCGGATCTCAAAATATGTGGGTATCTAAAACCTAACCAGCTAAAGATTTTAGAGGATGGAATTCCCTTTAAAGATATAGCACGTTAAAAATCTCAGCCAATTCTGATTCTACCAGTTGGGAAGTATTTATCCATGAATAACAACAAGTCTTAGCAAAGGTACAGACGACCCCACCTTGGGCAGCAAGTAAATAATCTAGTGTTACATGACCATCAAGTAACATGAGCTAAAGTATCCAGACTTGCTCTGGACTTTCAGTCCAGGAGGGCTTTCCGGTCATGCATTTATTCCAAGCAGTACTTACTTGAAACCAGGACTAAGGATTTCCCTAAATCAGGCCCCTTCACTGGGGTCAACTCCTTCAGGAAGACCACAGCCTTGAGAATGTCCACAACTGTTATCCTCATATTTACAAAGGCCACCATCTGAATTATCCTCTATAATGAGAGGCACTTTTTGTTGTTATTGGTCTATTATTAGTTTTTGTATGGTCTTCTTAAGTAATTAATTGAAGGACAGAAAAAGGAGAAGTCAGATATACCTTAGGGGGCGTTGTCTTACTATTCTCTAGCTATCCAGGCTATCCACTTTGAAATTAGAAAAGGATATGGGCAAAGGGTTTCTGAATTTTCCATAACCAGCAACAGGCTGAGGAAGATATACCCCAAAACCATAAAGATCACCAGAGCTTTCTATGGTTTGGGATATTTGAATTACAATGTTTTCCTGTCATTTAGCCCCTTTAGTTTGGATAGTAATAAGTAGGGTAGAGAATTTCATGTTTGAAAGGAGTTAAACAAACTCAAGTAGTTACAGTTGCTGGATACAAATAGGATTAACGAAAGTGCTAAAATGTCAACTATAAGGAGGATTGTTCTAATTATTTTATGAATGTTAGGCATTAATAAGAGTCTATTTTGAGGTATACAGGCCTGGTCCCAACTCTTGGGAAAGATATCTACTTTGGGTTCTCTCTGCTTCTTGTCCAGGTTGTTGCTGGGATGGTCTGGAGATCTTTGAGGTCTTCAATAGATTGGTAAGTTGTCAAGTGAGGGTGCTTTTTTCCAGATGAGAAAAGTGAATGTATGAGTCAACGCCTTTAAGTTTAGCAGTACCAGGGATAGTTAGCCATCCCTGATACGGCCCTTTTCAGTGAGGCTGGAGGGCACCCTTGTGAAAGTGACATTTCCAGTAGACAAAAATCTCCAGGCTTGCCAATTCAGCTGGAAGGTGTCCTAGTAATCACAGACCAGCAAGAAATAAATTCGCAGGAGTAGAGCCCATAATTTTTTTGACATAATCTGGCAGGAGATACAGAAGGTGGCCACTCAGTAACCATGCTTTAAACTATGAACTTCCCATTTTACCAAGAAGAGTAGTCTAACAGAAGGACAAAAGAGTAATTACTCACCATATGGGCACATTCATTCCCAAATCCCATAGACAAAAACTGACAACAGAGGACACCTGAATAAACCTGTACCAAAGCCAAGGCAGGAGTTTGGGGTCCAAGAGGACTTACCACCACGACCCAAAGCCACTGAGGAATTAACAGAATTCAATGGACTCCTGTCATTACCTTACTTAAGAATTAAGTGGTAAGAATAGTGGTGGCACCACAGAGGCAAGGCGTTTTGGATCCCACTTCTGACACCATGTAATGTTGGACAAGAAAGAACTGAGGCTACAAAGCAAACCAACAGTTTATTTGGAGTCTTGGGAATTCAAACCTGGGACACAGATTCAGGAAGAACCTGAAATATGCTCTGCGAGAGTATGGAGAAAGAGTTTATAAAGCAAAAGTCACAGGCTTACAGAAGTTGTTTTGAAAGAATTATGATTGGCCTAGACAAAAATTATTGATGGTCCATATAAGATAGATGGCCATTAGTTGCTAGACTGGAGTTCAGCAAAATGACCCTCATACTGAGAACTGAAACAGGATGTAGCCACTTGTGGTTGACACAGTCCAAACGTTCAGGTTCAGGTTAGGTATGGACCTGTGTAAGACTAACTTCCCCAATGGCCTCCAAGCTCTACTTTAGAGCCCCCTGACATTCTTGACTCCATTTCAGATGTTTCTGTTCACAGGTCTATTCCCTGAAGCTTGTCAGACTGGAGAACTTGCAGATCTCAATCCCAAATACTTAGAAATACCAGATGGACTCTACCAGTATGCCAGATATCTTTGTTTATTCACAGATCAATTGCCAAGATAGTCAGGGAAGTCCCCAGGGAACAAAGAAGAGGAAGTGACTGATAAGCCCTGGGTGGGATGCAGCAGTGGGCGCTGTGCATTGTAGTGGGGTGGGGGTCTCTGGGATGAAGAGAGATGAGCAAAAAATAAAATCTCCCATGGCTCATGGAAGGAAGCTGGTCTGACCCAGCATAGGTGCTGGATAAGGAAATGGAGTTGCCTGGGAATTGCAACCACAGCCCATTGCTTACATGGGTCTGGGGTTCAAATTCAGCCTACCTACATGGTCCCGAATCCCCTACACTAGAAATTGACTGTTTTTTCTTTTTAAGTGGCTCCAGGAAAGAGCTCTGAGGTTTAACCCAAAGCGAAAGTGAAACTACTCTGGTGGGGCCCAACCCCCACCCAAGCTGGCAAGATTTCCATGGCAATGATCTCCAAATGAACAATCCACCATGAGTAAGAGTTTGCAGACACAACACAAGCAAGATTTGATACTGGGTCAACCAGAATTCAACCAGGTAAACAGAAAACAGAATTTTATGTATTCAAAATAAATAGAGGAAATTTAGGGAGCTGTCTTTGGAAGGCAAAAGCTAATCGGAGAAGAGTTAAACGACCCAGAGCTTAGCAGTAGGAAGAAGAAGGCAGTGAGTGACAGTCACATCAGGGACAGGAAGGTAGGAGTGGTCCACCCCAGGTGGGTGCAGGCAACAAGGCGGTGCAGTGTTTGAAAAGGATTTAAAGACAATAATAAAAGTAGTCCACTAAAGGTTGGTTTGCTTTTAATGACCATGCAACAGTAATTCTAAACAATGTCAGTGACAAAATACTGCTCCCCGAAACAATTACTGTGCTTATTGCTGGCTCACAAAAAGCCAGCAGTGAGACCTTTACCTTCTTGGCAGAAGACTAGAAGGATCCTCTCCAGAGAAAACGACCAGCCCAAGATACAGAAATATCAGCGTTTCCTTAATGAAAATACACCAAACAAACCTCACCCACACCCTGAGGATTTCTAACTATCTTTCTAGGTCCCCGTTTTCAAATATCAACAGAAAGACAAGGATCGCCCAATGTAGAACTAAAGAAAGCATCCCACCTGACAGACACACAAATAAGCAAATGAAAAAAATTACTATGAGGAAACAGGTGATGTAGGGAGAAGAAAATTTTAAAAGCAAACTCTCTTCATTGTCCTCTAAGAGAATAGAGAAGACATTCATGAAACAAGAACAGGATAGTCTAAGAAAGGAACGTTTATAAAATAAAAGACTCTTGAGAATTGAAATGTTGACGCAGAAATGAAAAAAAG